TATTTCGGAGCGGCTTATTCCACTTTCATAGAGCGCATCTCCGGGTGACGTACAGATTCTTTAATGGATGGAGTAACGTATGTAAGATCTATTGCCTTCTCGAATTAAATAAAGATGTTGCGTACCATTTTTGTCATATTAATTTTTTAAAATCAATGGACACGCTGGGCCACTACCTCAACTGTTCTTATTCAACATCTAATGGTTTAGAATCTTAATCGGTTTATCTAAGTTTGTCACTATTTCGACGAAAGATGGAAATCTATCTTGACATTTAATTAATCATAAACTTATTGAAATGATGCAATCTTTGTCACTCACCCTCATCTGCTTTGCAATAAAAGAACAAGAATCGTAATAGTTCATATATGATCGTGTTGCTAGTTTCTGAATTAAACTACTTAATGGGAAAAGACTTCTACGGAATTTATAACTAAATTATATATCGTATAAAAATATCATTAATTTATAATTAAACAGTTATACTAACCAAAGGATGAAAAATTTATTAATATTTGAATTGGTTTTCTTTTGGTCAACAAAAGTTTATGTAAACTCATGTTTCATGGATTTTTTATTTTACCCTATATTTCTGTACTATGTGTGGCTCGAACTTCGGTGGTCCGATTTGTTGAATTTGATTTTAAAGTTGGTTCCAGCTGATTTAAATAAGATGTTATGTCCTCCAGACACCATAGCTTTCCTGGGCATCTATTATCGCATCCTTACTGGACCTCTCATTGTGGTTGCTCTGTTCGGCATTCGCAAGCTCTTGCTCTCTTTGCAGGATAATCGAGGACTGCGCAATTGCCGTCAATGGATCAACGAAGATGACAAGGTGCTGCACAAGTACGGCTCTAACACGAGTCTTGTTTATTCGGTAATCTAATTTACTTACTGGTTTGTTCCTTTCCATTCCTTTTATAAATTACAATAAATAATGACATATTTAGTCAGTATCCGCTTTATAAATAACTCTGCATAATTATTTATGTCATTACATCTTAATTTGCTTTTTGCTATGACTATTATATTTTATGTAATTATGTCATATTTTATCAATAGAGAGTCCATTCTCTACATTTAATATTTATCATTTTATTTTAATATAAGAAATTGACACGTTTGCTATGAATTACGTAAAGTATAATGCGTAGCATTCACAAATGAGTATGCATTTATCAAAAATTTATTTTAAATAAAAACATAATGAGATAAAAAAATCCTGTTTATTTATGTATCATCTTCCTAATTACGACTCAGAATAATTTTTTTAAGCAGAGTACACTATATATTTAAAGGCACTTAACGGAAAATAACAAAAAGGAAATTATTGGAAATATTAGAGTAATGGAAGTACTGTAGCTAGTATGGAGAATGAAACCTTTACATAATTGATATTATACAAGAAATGTTATACTATGCGCTTAAGATCTAACACATCTGTAGCTTATTTTCTATTAGAAAATTCGCATATATTATATGCATATATCATCATCGTCATGTTGGGTGGATAAACTTATTTATTTATAAAAGTGGGTTGACTTCGTTTTCGCAACTTGATCTTGCTGCTAGGGGGACTAGTTAAACGCACCTTGTCCGAAGTCTTTTGCCACAGTAATTATCATAATTCCCAGCATATGACCGTAGACTTGATACATTCTTAAGCGTTCCGACAGCATCGTAGTCGGCATCATCAGTAAGTTTTGCCATTCTCCGCACCTAGTAAAAAATTCGTAAAACAAACACGTGAAGTCAATCCTTCGACCAACGATCTACTGAAACGGATACAATGTCATTCATCCTTCCATCCTGACCTAACTATCCAGTTCTTCCCATATTATCCAAATCCCGCCCTATCACAACTTTTAACTTGTTTACATTCCACTCATCAAAATTTAGTGTGGCCTCATCACACCTACTATTCACTCTGACCCCCTCTCTTTTGATCTGCTAATCCGACTCGGGGCTCCTATCCGGATCTCCTTCATGCTCTCTAATATCCGTTTCTTATTTTTCACTCGGCTATAGTCCCTGTGTGCGCTTTATCTCAGGAGCTGTCACAAGACCTTAGAAGCATGTACACTGCCGCCTAGACTCTGATTCCCATCCTTGCAGATATTAAGCATTGCCTTCGCGGGTCGTCTCCCTGATTAAATTCGTGTTACCTGAGCAAACTGTCAATGCTCTTACCTGGTTGCCTGAGGCATCTCAATATGATTTCTAGTACCTTTAGGCCATAATGCTGCATTTCTATGACGGTTGTGCTTATCCGTCTGCCTAGTTTCCTGACTGCCAGGTTCCCAAAGTTGTACTGGTTTCTTCGAACAGATACCACCTACTGGTAAGAAGAAAAACTAGGTTTCGAAGAATTCCTTAATGAAATATTATGGCATGACTCTTCATTTCAAAGGGAAAGTTTGTTGGAAGGTATTCGCAATGTGATCTTACCGGAAACCGCAAGGTGATTGTCGCGTAATAAAGAATGATGAATTGTGCGAAGTCCTCGGCTTACTGTCCTGCGACCCCGACAAAAATATGCTAAGCTTTCGCTTTTACTGTGACAGACATTATAAAAGCAAGAATCCATACTTTACGGAATATAGGAAAAACATACTAAACCAGTAGGAGAAAGTGGCCGGCTGCAACCTTAGTCGCTTTAGGGAAGTTGTTTGACCTTGTATTCGCAGCTTCGACATATTGGTAGGAAGACTA